AAAATGTATTATTATGAAAAGTCAAAGGAAAAGATATAACGTGTGCTTTTGAGCTGAACCTATGTCTCAAATTTATAATGAGGTTGTCAGTAGTTCACATAAGAAAACTACCACTGTGGTTAAATGGTATGCAGGTGTACGTGTTAGACATGAACTTATTACTTCCGCGGCTGCACTTTGTTTTTCATGTGCGAGGCACAGTGCAGGGGTGCCAGACAAGAGCGGGTGTGCTTCATACTGAAAAGAGCCATAAAAGTTTTATTTATTTATTTTTTAAACCCATGAACGTGTTCATTTTAAGCTGTGACAGTCTGAAGGGTTGTTTTATGTTGCTATAAAAACTGGTAACAGTTTTTAATGTGTGCTTTATTTAGTATGATATAGGCTGTTATAGTCTCGGTGCTAATATATTAGCTGTTTTGCTTCATTATCTGGGCCTCAGTTAGTCCTCCTTGTAAACTTGAGATGTTTGCTTGCTTTTACATAACGTCTAAGTGGCTATTTTCTAGTTTCTTCTTTAGGGAAGATAGTAAGGGAGAAACAAGACACTAAAAAAATAGTTTACGGTTAAGATCGAGGGAGACGTACGGATAAAGATGAGATAATGTCAAGAGAGTGGGGTATGGCTCATGCTGGGGGCTCCCACACATTCTGCCTAGCCCATTGGTCATGCATGTCTCAGCTCTGTGTGTGTTTGTGAGAGAAGGTTATGGAGGTAGGAGCACAACTCAAGATTGTCACATTATTTTAAAATGTTAAATAGTTTATTTCCTACTTTTGTGTGTGACTGTGTTGCTTTCTGGACAGTAGTCATTAGATTTAAGTTGCTTCTTTCTCTCATTTTCCCACAGGGCGTTGCCTGACTCAAACACATGCACGCACACACACAAACACACACACACACGTTGTCCAGTTCCACCTGGTCTGTCGGACTATGACCTCATTCCAGGAAAAGGAAGAGAAATCACCTGACAGACTCATTTGTGTAATCAGCTGTAACCAGAGGCCACTGCGTGTATGTCTAATGCCTCGAGCTACTGATTGTGCTAACAGCAGGGAGTTCATACTGCTCTTATTTTTTAAAATTCTCCTCTAAGTAGTCCTTTGTGTCATTCAGAAATACAGATTGTGAACAGAAGAACTGCAAAAATTGATGCTGATAGAGTACGGCAACACACAAAACACTCTTTCAACTACCTGAAAAAGGGGGGAGGTGATCTGATCTGTCAGCACAGCAAGAAAGGGTGGGGAGAAAAAGAGTGAGAGAGAGAAAGGACTGGCGGGGAGGGTGTGTTTCTGTGTGGGTGAGAGAGACGGCGAGGAGGAGGAGGAGGAGTGTAGAATGACAGAGGGAGAGAGAACTCTGGCACCTCTCAGATCTCGGCTGTGGCGAGGGCTCCTGGTTGAAGCACATTCCTCAAGCAGCCAGCGACAGCGGGACAGTGCAGAGGAGAAGTCGCGACATCCTTTAAATCTCTTCGTGACCACATAGGACTGCCTCTCACCTCCTCTCGGCTCACGCACTCCTCACACAGACACTTGCTAAGCTGCGTAACGCACCAGCCGCTCAACCAGCTCTGCTGCCCTGTCAGAAGTAAAGGATTTCCCCGATTGAGGCACAGGGACAGAAAGAATAAAAAAAACTGATTGAGGAAAAGAAATTTAAATCACTGAAGAGGCGGAAAGGCTTCTCTTTTACTCGGTAAGTGTAAGGGCTTCTTTTGGTGATTGTTTGAACGTGTCCTTGACTGCTTGAATCACGGTGTCAGGAAGTTTCTCTGAATACAGCCGGCTTTGCCGTATGTTCCAGCATGCACGTAAAAACCTGCTATTATTACTACTATATATACTGTTCGTTTTTATTATAAATGGCGAGTTTCTGTTTGTATTGTTGTTTGAATGGCATAATAATGAAGAGACTCTTGTGTTATGTCTGTAGACTGATGAACTGTGTCTTTACATGTACCTGTTGACACTAGACCCGTCACCCAAGTATTCTTGCCTGAGACAAAAGGACCCAAACCTGTTTGGAGGAAACCTCATTGACTGTGCACTTGTGCAATTATTCACCTTCCCCCCTTTTTTCTTTTAAAAAAAATAACTTTTTGTGTCAGTCACAAAGCCAGCCTGCCTGTGCAAATAGAGGCTGTCCACAAGTGTAATGTATCACAGGCTGCTCTTTTTACTACCCCAGGATTAAAGATTAATTTCTGAAAGTCATGGGCAGAGTTCAGCTCACTTACTGCACGTTCTGTGCTACACATCTCAAACACTGTGCAAATCGAATGCACTAAATCCAGTGGAAGTGAGCCTATATAAACGTTGACTCATCATTATGCATGGCTAGCATCTTAGTTACAGATTCTCAGCATGTTTTGTGTTAGACAGTGAAGCTCATTAGCAGGCTGTATTTGTTGTCCAATCGGGGCTGCTGGTTTTAAATCCCTCTCTCCAGGAGGGAATATTTTTTTTTCCAGGTTGTGGGAGTCAAACAGTTACACCTCGTGTGTTATCTCTGTTAGTATGTTTCACAAAGTTGACT